TCAGATCCCCCAAGTCTGTACAGGTGTGTCTCCTAACTAACTCGGCCTTCACTGAGGCCAGTGCGACTCTGTCGGGAGTAGCAAAGATAAGGCCGTCTATGTATACTAGAATGTAGAACAGTGTCTGACCTGTGCGAACAAAGAGAGAGGGGTCAGCAGAGGACGGAAAGAACTGCAGCTCAGCAAGAGTGGTGCGAAGCGTGTCATGCCACTGAGGGGGAGCCTGACGAAGGCCATAGACAGGACGGCGCAGGCTCCACTGGGTCCCAGGTGGAAAGGACCCAGAGAAGCCTAGAGGGCGCCGGAGGTAGATCTGCTCGTGCAGACTACCCTGCAGGAACGCTGTGGAGAAGTCAAGTGAGTGAAGCTCGTAGTCACGTTGTGCGGCTGTGTGAAGAAGGACCCGAAGAGTAGTCACCTTCGGGGTCGGGGAGAAGGTCTGGAAGAAGTCCACTCTTTCACGCTGACTGAAGCCTCTAGCCACGTAACGCGCCTTGAATTTCGGTGGCTCTCCAGGTGCGCGATTCACCCTGTAGATCCACATGCCATCGACTACGTTCGCCCCAGGCAGGGAACTGCGTCGACGTAGATGCCAGTGGATCTGTAGGATGCCATCTCAGTCTCCATGGCCTGTATCCACTGGGCTGTCCAGGACCCCGACACCGCCTCAGCGTAAGAGCGCGGAACAGGGATGTCGAGAGCGTCTGGGTCACCCTCTGGGGATACAAGCATGGAGCAGAGATGGGGAACATCGGAAGCAAGGTAGGCCAACTCGTACTGCCTGTCCTCTAGCATGTCACTGCCAAGGGCAGGTGCACCCCCGACGGACGGAGGATGGACAGTACCAGAGACCAGAGCGGCAGTGTAGTCAAGGCGGTGGCTAGCAGCAAAGTCAGCGGTAGCAGCGACCAGCGCAGAGATAGACTATGGAGGAGTAGTAGGGTCAGTGACAAGCGTCGCAAGTAGACGCAACAGGACTGGACGAGCAGTGTGAACAGCGTTGGAGCAAGGAAGGGGGGACGACGGTAGCGATGACGGGGGAGGCAACGGAAGGACTGTGACGGGAGGAGAATGCGAACGAAGGAGCATAGGGTGGACACTAGGACGGGGAGAGAAAGGACGAGCACCAGAGGGGCGACAAACCCAGTGGGGAAGAACTGGGGACTGGGGACGAGGGGGGACGGGGGACAGGTCAGTGGACGGAGGGGAGCGCGGGGGGAAACGAGCCGGAGAGGAGTCCGAAGGAGGAAACAACCGGCTGTAAAGGGGATCACGCACCGGAGGGGGACCGGGCTGGCTGACAGGGGAACCTGGAGCAAGACCAAGGAGACGAAGGGCAGACTGCGGCGGCTCCTGCTGCGGTGGCTGCACCTGCTGCTGCTGCTGCTGCTGCTGCCTCCCCACTCCAGGACCTCCAGTGGCACCCCAGCTGCCACCCGCACACCGCGAAACAGCACCCCCAAGACTAGCACCCTCGGTCTCACCACTTAAAGAACCAGCACCCCTGGAGTCAGCACCCCCAGAACTCGCACCCCCAGAACCAGCACCGCCAGAGCCCACTGCTCCCTACTGCTGCTGCTGCGGCCGTGGAGTCTGCTGCGGCGACGGCTGCTGCTGCTGAGGCAAGGGAGCAGGCGGCTGAGGGGCTTGGGGGACCGAGGCTGGGGGAGGCGCCATACGGACACCCCTAGCAGCTGGGCCCCCACAGTCAGCCGACTCCCCCACAGGGGGAACCGAGGGGAACTGAGTGGCGTGGGAGACACCAGACTGGGCCGAACGGGGCGGGAGGGGTGCAACAGAGGGGGTAGGGACAAGGAAGAGAGGAGGAGGAGGCACAAGAGCGCTGCGGTGCACGAAGCGCTGGTAATAGGGGAGCGTTTGATCGAAGGTGACGTCACGAGAGTGGTAAAAACGGTGGTGGGAGGGGTGGTAGAACGGCCAATCAGAGGCGTCAAGCGGGAACCCCAAGAAGACACAAGGAAGAGTGCGGGCTGAGAGCTTGTCCGCGGCAGTATCGCGGACGTGAGCAATGCTGCCCCAGACGTGGAATGCAGACGTGTCACCAGGAGACCCGGTCCAGAAAAGGGTCGGCGAAACCTGTGGTCGCTGGGAGCGCGGCCACATGTTATGCTGGTGAGTAGCGTAGTGCACGGCGAACAGCCACAGAAAATGGGGTGCACCGGCGTGGACCATGGAGGTGCGAGCCACCTCCATGATCAGGCCGATGCGTCGCTCAGCGATCCCATTTTGCTATGGGGAATCCGGCAGTGTGTACGTCTAGCGGATGCCCTCCGTACGACAGAACTGTCCTAGAGAGCCAGAGGCGAACTCGCCACCGCGGTCAGAGTGTAAGCGACCTATAGACAGTCAGTGGGCGGTGCGAACAGTGAGAAGCAACGGGAGGAGAACGGTCGCACGTCGGCCTTCCGCTCCAACGGGAAAACTGTGGTGAACCGCGAGAAATCGTCAACGACGACTAGGAAGTAGCGCTCCCGTCCAAGCCCATGGACCAGGGCAGGGCCCAAGACGTCCATGTGCAGTGTCTGTAGCGGTGCTGTGGTAGGAGGAAACGAGGAGGAGTGAGGGGCGGCGCGCTGCCGGCCCTCGACGTAGGAGGTGCACAATGGCACTACCGACGGAGGCAAGGCGGGGAGCGACGCAGGGAGACCAGTGACTAGACTGTACTGGGACATGTGCCTAAGACGCGGGAGTGCAGGGTAACCTAAGCGGTGGTGCCACAGAAGGGCCGGATGGGCTAGTGAGCGACAGGAGCAGCGGTGGAGAGCAACGGTGGAGACGGCCGGCTGGAGAGTCGGCACAGAAGGGGGAACCAAGGCCGGCGGGTCGGGGCAGCATAGCAGTACAGCGGCTCGGCGACTCGGCAACTCGGCGACACGGCGGCTCTGCTACTCGGCGACTCGGTGGCTCGGCGGCACAACGACGCGGCAGCGCGGCTACTCGGCGGCTCGGCAGGTCGGCTACGCAGCGGCTCGACGGCGCGGCTCGGCGGCGCATCGGCTCGGCGGCACGGCGTGGCGCGGCGTGACATTGTGGCATGGCGCGGCGGCGTGGCGCATTGCGACAGCGGTCGAGCGGGGCCGGCGGGGCGCGACGGGGCCGGCGCGGCCGAGCGGGGCCGGCGGGACGGCACGGCGTGACGGGGCCGGCGTGGCAGGACGGGGCCAGCGCGGCGTGACGGAGCCGGCGCGACGTAGCGGAGCCGGCGCGGCGGGAAGGGGCGGCATGGCGTGACGAGGCCGGCGCGGCGTGACGGGGCCGGTACGTTCTAGCGGGGCCGGCGCAGCGTGACGGCGCCGGCGCGGCTTCACGGGGCTGGCGCGGTCTAACGGGGCCAGCGCGGCGTGACGGGGCACGGGCTAGGGCGCGGTCTAAGGCTAGGGCTAAGGCTAGGGGCGGAAGCGTAGGCGGGGAGGGGGACCTAACCTAACGTGATACCATGTTAGAATAACATAATGATTAGAAGGAAGAGGGAACAAGGGAGATATAGGGTTTGGTTTGTACTCTCTAAAAACACACACCTATTCTAGCCTATAATTTCTATATGCAAATGTATGTATAAGTTGACACATCTATCGTCTGGAGCCTACGCACTATCTCATAACACTGGGGAAAACTGGAACTAATCGTTACCTCATCTGCTGAAGCGGAATATATCGCCCTTTGCACAGCCACGAAGGAAAGAATGTACATGCGCGAACTGCTCGGAGAAGCAAAGATTGCTGAGTTACCAAGCTTCTTCCTCTTCTGCGATAACCAATCAGCAATCAGAATCGGAAAAAAAAGAACGGATTCGCGAACAGGACGAAGCACATCTCGCTTCGCTACTTTTTTTCGTAAAGGACGAGATCGAGCAGGGATGCCTCCAATTGGTCTACTGCCCCACCACCGAAATGGCAGCTGACTATTCGACCAAGAAGCTGATGGAGTCAAAGTTCCAGTACTGCATGCTGCTGACTGAACTTCAACACATCAGCAACCTCGTCCACATCGACACCCTAGAAATGAATGAGGGTGTTGGAAATGATAAAAGAACTTAAGGCGTTTTCGGAGTCTCGCGTAAGTGTACGAATACGCGAAGACTGCAACAACGAGAATCACCGAGTGAACACTGCTACAGTACCACCGATGGATAGACACAGGTCGGGGAAACGTCGCAGAGGTTACGAAAGGGCAACGGTCGCAGAGCGTTGACCGTGCAACCCAACAACCAAAATTGCAAGAGTCAAGAGTCAGCGCGATAGCAATGACAAATAACCCTCCCGATATTACACTACGGGTGGTTACACGAGTCGCCTTATGGAGTCGTAAAATGGAATGTACCCTTTGAAGTGCATAAACAGTTAGAATCTTCATATCCTCTTGTATTATAATATAAACCTTGTATCCATTTGCTATAATGAATCACTTATTTCCACACACCAGTACAAGGGTTCAACTCAAGACTTCCTATATGCTATTAAGCACTCTGTTACAAGGACTTAGCCTTATGAAAAGATCCTAGGGCTATTCTCAGCCCAACACATGTGACACGTGTGGTTCTATTTGCGAATGGGACTGTACCTCATAGCTAATTACCACGCTTGTGTGCGAACATGCAGGTTGGTGTTCCTGGTACTGGACTCGGTAAAATGTGTAAATCACGGTGTTCAGAAACCTATGTTCCTCATAGCTAATTACCAGGCTTGTGTGCGAACATGCAGGTTGGTGTTCCTGGTACTGGACTCGGTAAAATGTGTAAATCACGGTATTCAGAAACCTATGTTCCTATGCTGGTAGTGAACACTACTGCGTAGGAATACGCTCTTAGATTTTTGATGCTACGACAGGAGAACAAGTACCGTACCTCCAAACAGCTAGCACGCAGTCACAGCTGGTGAATGTCTTAGCCACGTGTGCAGCTGTGGCCCAGCGAGCAGTAACTGCCAAATCCTCTATCTTCTTGGTTTCTTGTTTCGCCCATCCACTCGCCGGTCGGGGTCGCGCCCGTCTGTAACCCGAGCGGGGGCCAACTCTTGGAATTGTCGCACACCTGTGAGACCCCTGGTCTGCCACATCGATGACTCGTCCACTCCAAGCTGAGAGTCCGCAGCGGCATCACCTCGGAAGGGGTGTTGACGTGGCGGTTAGAGAGGGGGGCACCGCGTGAGGCGGGAAACCGAGCAGCGAAAACCCCCCGCTCCCAGCGGTGGAGGGATAGCGAGGCTGAGTGCGCGGCCGTGGTTTCCCTTGCAGGCTCGGGCCACGAGACCATTCTCCCACACCCTTTTTCTCCCCGTCCTCCATTCTCGTTTCTCCTTTCTGGACTTGACATATTTTTCCTGCCGCCCGCCTCTTTCCTCCATGGGTAATTGCCGCCCGCCTCTTTCCTCCATGGGTAATTGCCGCCCGCCTCTCTTGTTTCTGTGAGGGCGTTGCTGAATTTGCACCCGCGCGGCGATCGTTTTTTCGCTCGACGAGTCTACTCGTCACCAACCCAGGAGAAGGATTCTCGGATGCGCGTTTTCTCCTCGTCACCTACCGTATACGTGTGTACGCCTACCGTGGTGCACCTTGCGCTAGTATGCAGACTGCTCGACTTACACGCCGGCAGTGCACGTTACTCCAATAAGGTCGCGCCATGGTTACCCTATCAACATAGAGTCTGCTTAGCGCCCGCGCCGAATGCTTGCCCGCGGCGCAGCACTGCACGCCCTTCCCCTCGTCTCCACCGCCGGGGCGCGCATCGCGCTCCTCCGCGCGACGATGAACGAGTTCCTGCGCTTTGCGCACGCGCGCGCGGAGACAGGGAGCATCGCACTTGCAGGAGAAAGGGTATACAGCAGGCGTGCACGCGGGGAGGATAAACCTGCGATTATTGTGCAGTACGACGAGGATTGTAACGCGGATGAGAGAGAAACCGGGGGTGGGCAGGGGGCAATGCGGGTGGCAAGAAGGAGGTCTGCCCGGCGACGAACGGATGTGACTGTAAAGAGGGAAGCAGACGAGGTGGCTGCCAGGCAACAAGCAGGCGACGTGATTGTGAAGAGAGAGGTCGTGACCCCTACTGAAGCTAGGGAACTAGGGGCTGGGATTGTAAAGCGAGGTCCAGAGGAGGTGAAGAGAGATGGAAATGATGTGACTGTAACGAGAGATGCAGAGGGTGGGACTGTAAAGAGAGAAGCGGAAGACGTGATTGTGAAGGAAGAGGAATTGGGACACGTGGGAATTGAGGCCTCTGTAGCAGCTGCTGGCATGGCTGTAGCGGAGGCTGCTGGGGGTGGTGGCAGGGGCAGGAAGAAACGAAGGCAGCCGGCAGAGAGAGACGCGGATAGTGGAGCAGGAGGGGGTGAAATAGTTGTGGCCGGGCTGCCGAAAAGATTCTCCGGCGGGCAGGTGAAAGGCGGGGAGCAGGGAAATTGGCGGGAGGTGCTGACGGCAATAAAGGCGATGCGGGGGGGCGGGGAGGCGCCTGTGGATACCATGGGGTGCGAGAAGGCAGGGCAGGGCATGGGGGAGAAGGTGGGGCATGGGGGAGAAGGTGGGGCATGGGGGAGAAGGTGGGGCATGGGGGAGAAGGTGGGGCATGGGGGAGAAGAAGGTGGGGCATGGGGGAGAAGAAGGTGGGGCATGGGGGAGAAGAAGGTGGGGCATGGGGGAGAAGAAGGTGGGGCATGGGGGAGAAGAAGGTGGGGCATGGGGGAGAAGAAGGTGGGGCATGGGGGAGAAGAAGGTGGGGCATGGGGGAGAAGAAGGTGGGGCATGGGGGAGAAGGTGGGGGTGACACACACTGGGAAGCGATTTACCGGGGCATGGTTACCGGGCCTTGGTTGGGTCCTGGAAAACGGCTACCAGCAAGAGATGTTGGATACAGTTGCTGGGATTGTTCTCGTGATAACCATAGTCCCGTTGAATCTCTTTCTTTCACTCTCTTTCTTCCCCACCTCTCCCCCCCCCTCTCCTCCCCCCTCTCCTCCCCCTCTCCTCCCCCTCTCCTCCCCCCTCTCCTCCCCCCTCTCCTCCCCCTCTCCCCCCCCCTCTCCTCCCCCTCTCCTCCCCCCTCTCCTCCCCCTCTCCTCCCCCTTCTCCCCCCCCTCTCCTCCCCCCTCTCCTCCCTGCACAACCCTGCATCTGGTCTCCTTGCCTCACCTCGAGCAGCAGCGGCGCTTTGCAGTGCTGGTGTCGGCCATGCTGTCCTCGCAGACCAAAGACCCCGTCACACACGGTATGCGCCATCATGCGTTATGGTATGTGTTATGGTATGCGCCATTATGCGTTATGGTATGTGCCATGGTACGCGCTATTATGCGTTATGGTATGCGTTATGGTATGCGTTATGGTATGCGCCATTATTCGTTATGGTATGTGCCATGGTACGCGCTATTATGCGTTATGGTATGCGTTATGGTATGCGCCATGGTACGCGCCATTATGCGTTATGGTATGTGCCATGGTACGCGCCATTATGCGTTATGGTATGCGTTATGTTATGCGCCATGGCACGAGCCATTATGCGTTATGGTATGCGCCATGGTACGCGCCATAATGCTTTATGGTATGCGTTATGGTATGTGCCATGGTACGCGCCATTATGCGTTATGGTATGCGCCATGGTACGCGCCATTATGCGTTATGGTATGCGTTATGGTATGTGCCATGGTACGCGCCATTATGCGTTATGGTATGCGTTATGGTATGCGCCATGGTATGCGCCATTATGCGTTATGGTATGCGCCATGGTATGTTCCAAGGTACGTGTCATGGGTGTGTCCAATGGTATGTGTAATGCCAAAATGTATGGCCTGATGTGCTGGTGTCGGCCATGCTGTCCTCGCAGACCAAAGCCCCCATCACACATGGTATGCGCCGTAATGTGTCGTTACCCATACACCTACACACAATGCAGGCTGCAGGGTTGCACGGCTGCTGTCGCAGGAGAGACCCCCTTTTACCCCTCCACCCACTCTCCCCCTTTTCCCACTCTGCCTTTTCCCTCGTTCCCCCCACCACTCTCGTTTCTTCTCCCCCCCTCCCTTTCCTCCTCGCCCTCCCCGCATGCTCCAGCTGCAGTGGCGTGGCTGCAGGCGGCGGGGCTGCTGTCAGCTGAAAGACGGGCCCTTTTCTCTGCCCCCCCTTCCCCTGTCGACAATGACATGGCACTCCCTCTGTCCCCGTCCCTCCACCAGCCGCAGTGGCGCGGCTGCAGGCGGCGGGGCTGCTGTCAGCTGAAAGACGGGCCCTTTTCTCTTCCCCCCCTTCCCCTGTCGACATGGCACTCCCTCTGTCCCCGTCCCTCCACCAGCCGCAGTGGCGCGGCTGCAGGCGGCGGGGCTGCTGTCAGCCGAAGGGATGAAGGCAGCAACAGAAGCAAGCATTGCCCAAACCATCTACCCGGTATGCCATCTACCCGGTATGCCATCTACCCGGTATGCCATCTACCCGGTATGCCATCTACCCGGTATGCCTGCAACCCATCTACTCGGTATGCCTGCAAACACCAATCATGAGGGGTCTATTTTTTAGGCGCCTCAAAAGTAGACTCCTCGCTCATCACCCAAACCATCTACCCAGTATGCCTGCTGAGGCCAATCGTGCACCTGGTGGTGCTCTACGTGCTTCAGTGTAGCCCCATTGTCCCCCCTTTCCCCCTTTCCCCCTTTCCCCCTTTCTCTGCATGTTTCCCTGTGGCATCCATGTGGCATCCATGTGGCATCCATGAGGCATCCATGTGGCATCCATGTGGCATCCATGTGGCATCCGTGCATCCCTGCTGTACTCGCCCCTCCCTCCCTCCTGATCTTCCCCCCCCCCTCCTCCCCTCATCTCCCTCCCTCTTGCATCTGCCAGGTGGGCGTCTACACGCGCAAAGGGGGGGGTAACTGAAGAAGATGGCGGATGCCCACCATATTCCTTCCCTTACCCGCCCCTCCGTCTACCATGTGTTCTGTCTTTTAGACTTCTAAAAAAACGAACACCCCCCACCCCCACGCCCATCCTACAGGTGGGCTTCTACTCCCGCAAGGCAGGGTATTTGAAGAAGATGGCGAGCGCGTGTCTGGAGAAGCACGGAGGGGACATTCCGGGCAGCCTGGAAGATTTGCTTGCACTGACCGGGGTCGGCCCTAAGATGGCGTACTTGGTGCGTGCTGGCTGAGAGTGGGGGTTGATTTTTTAGGCGCCTAAAAAATCGACTAAGGTGGCGTACTTGGTGTGTGCTGGCTGAGAGCGGGGGTTTTGGGGAAGGAAGGGGAGGGGGGTGGGTGGTTGAATGAAGGAGGGGCGAGGGTAGAGAAGGAGAAAGAAGGGTGGAGAAACGAGAAGGAGTGGAGGGTACATGTGTCAACACACATGTAGCAACACACATATGTATCCAATCACGTTCAGGACCCAGTCACGTGTGCAGCCAACCACCCTGGTTCCAGTATGCCCATACCTTGTGCACCGGCATCCGGAACCAGGTATGCCCACACCGCAGGTGTTGAACGTGGCATGGGAGCGCGTGGCGGGCACCTGTGTGGACGAACCCCAGTCACTTGCGCATCCGCACACCCATGCATCCAGGTTCCAATCACCCATGCACCTGTATGCCGTGTGCCACATGCCCCGTGCCACATGCCGCGTGGCTTGCCCATTCAGGTGTTGAACGTGGCATGGGAGCGCGTGGAGGGCATCTGTGTGGACACACACGTGCACCGGATAACACGCCGACTGGGATGGACTGATGCCAAGGTGACCGCACCAATGCTGTCTCTAGTCGGCTCAACAACAGACACAAAAACCACGCAACACAACCTCACTCCCAATGCGGACCACCCGACTCCCAACTTGCTCGAAGTATTACACTGCCTCCCTGGGTTCTCACCATCACCCCCCTCCGTTCCCTCTGCTCCCTCTGCTCCCTCTGCTCCCTCTGCTCCCTCTGCTCCCTCTGCTCCCTTCATTCCCTCTGCTCCCTCCGTTGGCTGTATGTAGGCGTTCCCAATGCCAGGCCAAGACACCTGAGGACACGCGCATTTCCCTGCAGCAGTGGCTGCCCAGGGAGGAGTGGCTGGGCATCAACCCGCTCCTCGTGGGCCTTGGGCAAACCACCCGCCTGTCTGCCTTTCCTTCCCCGCCTGTTCTGCTTTCCCCCAGGCCAAGACTCCTGAAGACACACGCATTTCTCTCCAGCAGTGGCTACCAAGAGAGGAGTGGCTGGGCATCAACCCCCTCCTCGTGGGCTTTGGCCAAACCACCTGCCTGCCCATCGGCCCCCGCTGCTCCTCCTGCCTCCTCGCCTCCCACTCGCTCTGCCCCTCCGCTGCCCTCCCCCGCCTCCCACCCCCTCCCACTCCTCCTCTTCCTCCTCCTGTCTCTTCTCGGCTTCCTCCCTCAAACCCACTTCCTGCTGCCGGCACGCCCCTTGCGCTCCCCCCTCCCCCGTCCTCGCCCCTCACCGACCTCCCTTGCAGCACTGCACCCACCGCCATCCCCGTGCCAACCAAGCGCCTCACACCAGGCACAGATTCACCTTCACCAGATGGCCCCACCCCTGCACCCACTGTTGCCCCACCATGCCTTCCTGCGCCTGAAAGCACCTCCTCGCTCTCCGAGTGCGCGCCGCGTTCACTGGACTGTTCCAAGCCGTTACCCACCGTGGTAGCCCCACTTTCGCTGGACCGTTTCAAGCATGGTAGTGTCACAAGCACGGATGCGGGAGAGGAAGAAGTGGCAGCAGGGGCAGATGCTGGCCCCAGGCGCAGCCTTCGGTTTTCCAGAGCCCGAAATGTTGTGGGGTGAGAGGTGGAGAGAGCTTTGGTTGGAAGCCAGCTGTGGTTGATTGGGGAGGCCAGTGTTGGAAAATAAGGTGGAGTAATTTGATTCATAAATAATGAAACGAGATGCATACATACGCACACGGCCATTCATATCTATCTACAGGGGTTGAGTTACCTGCTGCGCACAACAGGCACTCTTCAACTGGCTACCATGCATCTTCTGCGTACTGCTCCTGTGACTGTAACGGTAAAATGGATACTGTAAGCCCCATTTGATACTGCTCATCCTGCCACTGTCTTTGCAGCCTTATTCAGTGGTGCTTGCAGCCCTGCCAGCAGGTCTCTGTCTTCCCTCCTGCTATGTACAGTCACCTCCTGCTGCAAGCACCCCCCATCCATCCAGCTGCACATCTTCGTTGTAGTCACATCCTCCTCCCTCACTCTCTCACCCGTCGCGCATCATGCCTCCCTCCCACCATGTCCATCCGACAGCTGCATTGTGTAAGCTATGCTGCTCTCACTCATGGTCCACACATCTCTCCACTCTTCTCCCACCTCCTCGCTACACCACGCTAGCCAGCAAATCCTCACCAGCGCTCTCACCATCCGCACCACCACTCCCCGCAGCACCAGCACCAGCTGCACCAGCAGCAGTAGCGTCCACTGCCTGGCGTCCAAAGGACGAGAAGCGGCAGTCGGGCGCGGTGATGCCCGATGACACATAGTCGTCCACGGCCCCGTCCAGGAAGCCCCGGCCCTCCTCGGTGTCGGCGGCAATGGGGTGGTGGAGCAGGGAGGAGAGGTGCGTGTAGCGCAGGGCGCGGCTCTGCTGCTCGGGGGTATCGCGGAACGTCTGCCCCAGCACGCCGTGCACCAGAGGGGTAGTCTATAGGGGGGGAGGGCGTGGGGGAAGAGGTTGCCAGGGAAGGCAGGGAGGGAGAGAGAGGAAGGCGCAACGGTTGGGGATTGATCGATTGACGGGCAGTGCTATGAGCAATGAGCAGCTACCAGCAGGAAGAGTTATGGCATTAGATTCTGCCATGGCATCAGATTCTTTTTTGCATCATATCAGATTGAGCAGCTCACCACAATGTCCGTCAGGGCAATGTTGAAGTGTGCCTCGGCCTCGTCCGGCGTCTGCAGCAGCGGGTGCGCCACCCTCATGCGCACGTCCAGCTCGCCCACGCCCTCGATGGTCACTGTGTAGCGGTCCACGTCAAAGGGCCCCTCCCGCCCCTCCGCCACCTTGCTCACCACGAGGCCCCCCTCCGCCTCCACCATCTCGTCCATGAGGCGTGGGGGCGCCATGTCAGCACCATCCACCTGTGGAGGGGAAGCGGGTGAGGGGGGGGGAGGAGAGGGAGGTTGCTTAGGGGAAGAGGGAGGGGTGAGGCGTCCCTCTGCCACCTTGCTCACCATGAGCCTGCCCTCCGCCTCCACCATCTCGTCCATGAGGCGCAGCGGAGCAACATCAGCACCGTCCACCTGGTGCCGGGGGAGGAGAGAGGGAAGTCATGGGAGAGGGTAGGGGGGAGGGTTGAATGGGTGAGCTGGGGTGTGATATCCTATGACCAAGCGGGCAGGCCTTGAGGGGAGGGTGGAAGGCTGAGACAGGGAGAGGAAGACTGGCACAAGGTGGAAGCGATTGCAAGTGGATTTGGTGTGACATGATAGTAGAGTAATGTGCTTTTGTTGTGTGTGCTGATTGTAGCCCCATTCACCTGCAGCAGCGCCAGGAAGCCACTGGCCCCCCTCTCCTGCTGGTTGCCCTTGCGAGCCACCATGCGCAGCGAGTGCTGCTTGCCGGCTGTGGACACCCACACCACACCCACCTCCCTGCGGCAGCACAGTGGGGAAAGGGCAGAGGGGGAGGGCGTGTTCAAACTACGGAATAGGCAAGGCAACAAGCGCGGCCAGGAAATAGCCTTGATGCAAAAAGAGAAGCAGAGCAGGGGCTCCATACTTGATCCACGTGTGAAGGCTGGTGCCAGTCGCCTCAGGCGCAGCAGTCGTGGCCCTGGCAGCAACAGCAGGCGGCGTCCCTTGGTACCCGTTGAGCAGCATGTTGATGTGCACGCGCGCGTCCGTCAGCAGGCAGAACGCCTTGTCAAGCCTGCCAGTAAAGTCAAAGTGCGTGCCGTGCGCGCCCGTCAGGTGCGGGTCGTTCTCCACCGTCGCCTTGCCGTTGCACAGCCCGCCCACCCAGCTCAGCGGGAAGTACGGCGTCATCGCGGCCTGCTCCTTGCGGTCGCCCGCGTACGGGTGGGACAGGCCCCCAGAGACGCCAGAGCCCGCGTTTTTCTGCAGCAGGTAGCACTGCGCGCCGTCACGGAAGTTCTTCACGTTCGGGTTGTCCTCGATGCGCGGGCTTACGAAGAAGTGGTACTCGTAACAGTCCATCGATTTCGCGCACGCCACGCAGCACTTCGCGAGCGTGTTGCCCTTGGTGCCGGCTACCATCTCGATGACATTCCCGACCTCCTGGAAGATTTCGAGGTTCAGGGGGCCGGATCCGGCCTTCTGGGGCTTCACTTTGCCGCCCTGGCTGTTGAACAGGCCCTTAAAGTAGCCAATCAGCGAGTACTTGCGGAAATTCTGCTCCGTGATGTTCAGCTTCTCGAGATTGACGAGCCTGTTGCACACCTTGGTGACGTGGCATCCGCCAGGCGGGACATTGCACGCCGTGGCGGTGATCGCTAGGAGTGAGAGCACGGCGAGAAGGACGGTGGCGTGAGCCATGGTGGTTAGTGGTACTCAGGAGCTCTAATGTCGATGGGAGGTAGTATGTGGATTCGCCGACTCACGCGGTGCTTGGGTGAGAGTAATGGCGCAGATGCACGGTTGCGGAATTGCTGATGCTTCAGGAGAGATGGATCAGATGGGGTGAGATTTGCTGTGTTGCTATTCTCGGCGAAACTGAGCGAGTTTGTAGTCCCTCGCTGCGGCTCGACGAACGCAGGTTGCGAAGCGGTCGGCGCGGTTGACGAATCCTATGGCCCTTTCGCCGAACTCGAGCGACGCTCGATAAGCGAGCCGCGACGAAACATCTGTTGAAGGGAAATGTCAGCCGAATGCCAAGCTCAATTTGTCAATTTGTCTGGGTGAACATATGTAGGCTGGTTTACTGTACATATTTGTTAATGCTGTAAACATTAAATTCCCCACAGCGTTATTGGACATACTTGCTGCAAGAATAACCGAGAGTTTGCGCACCAACTCCGAGGGGCTTGGAGCCCAGGCCGGAGCTTTTGAATTTTCGAGGAGAGCCATTCCCAGCACCTAGAAGCTGCCTGTTCTGCTCGGCAGCTCCGGCTCAGCTCTTCAGAAAGGCGTGCAGACGACGTGGTTCCTCTTTCTTCTTGGTTCAGATCAGATCAGGCGGCGACGAAGCTCACGGTTAGGCTTGTTCGGGTTCCTGGCCGTCGTTGAGGCATCTAACCGGATCGCGCGAGGCTGATCTGTGGTGTCGTAGTGGATCGCGAGCCATGAACGCGTCGCGGGGCGGCGGGGGGGACGGGTCGCGCGATGCGTCGAAGAAGTCGAGCAAACGATCTACTGGCAGCAGGAGGAGCGCCGCGTCCAAGGGCGGATCGAGGTGATTGGTTAGGAAGTCTAGGAGGATCCACGTGATTGGTTCGAATCATGGAGGAGGGTCAAGGTGACTGATTAAGGATCTACGTGATTGGTTCGATGATCGCTTCGATTCCGACGGACAATCTAGGCCGTTGGCGTCTAGATCCCGGAGGTCCTTTTGAGGGAGATTAAGCTTTTAATCTACTCCGTAGTCTGCCTTTCTTGTCAGAAGCTCGTGTCACGTAGACAATGAAAGGTCAGACTCTGGCCTCGGAGTTATCGCCTTGCTTCATCGTCTCGTCCCGCTCCCTCGCTTTTCTCATTCTCTCAATCTCCGCACTCGACCCTCACTGCCTTCTCTCACTCCTTTTAGCTCCTTCCTTCTCCCCCTCTCCCCTCAGCGGTACAGCAGCGGGGGAGCGAGCAATGCGGCGCCTGATGCTATCCAAGGCGCTGACACCCGGACACCACCACGGTGGCGGACGCCTCCCCTTCACACCCTCGCTCTCCTCTCTCTCTTCCCTCTCTCCGCTCCCCTCAGGGGTATAGCAGCCGGGGAGCGAGCAGTGTGGCGCCTGAGGCTGTCCAAGGCGCTGACGCTCCCCGACACCACCACGGATGGCTGACTCTTTCGTTCGTTGCATGCCATTGCCTCCCCCGTTCACCCCACCAGCAGCACAGCAGCGGGGGAGCGGGCCGTTCGGCGCCTGAGGCTGTCCAAGGCGCTCACGCTGCCCGACACCACCACGGTGGCGGACGCGTGTCGGCGAATGGCCAACCGCCGCGTGGACGCGTGCCTGCTCACCGACTCCAGCGCGCTGCTGTGCGGCATCATGACGGACCGGGTCAGTTTATAGCGAGTACATGCAGCCTGGTGCTCAGTGCTGCGCATTGAGGCCTTTGGTTTCGGTGCTTCTTGCTGCAGGGTGTTGCTTTCAACACTCCCCCACCTTTCCCCTCCCCCGCCCCACCCAACCCCCCCCCCTGGACGTGAGCAGCACATTGGCATCCATAGTGATGACCAAGAACCCTAACCCCTTTCCCCCCCTTATCCCCTTCCTCTATGCGTGTGATTCGGGACCTGGCTCTAAGGTGTGTGGGCGAGGGTCTGGTTGTGAACAGCACAGTGGCGTCTGCAGTGATGACCAGCCCCTCCCCCCCTCCCCCTCTCCTTCCCCTCTCCCCGTTTTCCCACGTGATGAATGTGTACCAGGACCTTGCGTTGAAGTGCGTCGGCGAGGGCCTGGACGTGAACAGCACTCTGGCGTCGGCAGTGATGATGACAAAGAACCATCCCACCCTTTCCTCTTCCTCCCCCCCCCCCCTCTCCCCCCTCTCTATGTACCAGGACCTTGCGTTGAAGTGTGTGGGCGAGGGCCTGGACGTGAACAGCACTCTGGCGTCGGCAGTGATGACCAAGAACCCCACGTTTGTCACCATCGACTCGTCTGCTGTGGAGGCGCTGCAACGCATGGTGCAGGGTGAGATGTAACGCGTGGTGCAGGGTGAGATGTAACGCGTGGTGCAGGGTGAGATGTAACGCAGGGTGCAGGGTGGGATGTAAGGCAGGGTGCAGGGTGGGATGTAACGCAGGGTGCAGGGTGAGCCGTTGGTGCTTACATGAAACGCCTGTCTGCTAGCAATGTCGTCCTCCGAATCACATGCCCCTTTCCCCTCATCCCGGCCATCTCCCCTCATCGTGGCCATCTGCCGGTGATCGAGGAGGGCGAGATGTTGGCTCTATTGGACATCACTGGGTGCGTGCCAACGTGTCAACCAAGTGTTTCCTGCTCTCTGCATACCCCCCCCCCTTACCAGGGCGGTTCCGGCACCTGCCGGTGATCGAGGAGGGCGAGGTGGTGGCGCTATTGGACATCACCAAGTGCCTGTACGACGCCATTGCCAAGATGGAGCGCGCTGCTGAGAGGGGCGACGCGCTGGCAGCTGCCATGGAGGGTGTCGAGAGGCAGTGGGGGGCCAACTCAGGTGGGGCAGTGGGGGGCCACCTCAGGTGGGGCAGTGGGGGGCCACCTCAGGTGGGGCAGTGGGGGGCCAACTCAGGTGAGGCAGTGGGGGGGCAACTCCGGTGGGGCAGTGGGGGGCCAACTCAGGTGGGGCAGTGGCGGGCCAACTCAGGTGGGGCAGTGGGGGGCCACCTCAGGTGGGCCAGTGGGGGGCCACCTCAGGTGGGGCAGTGGGGGGCCAACTCAGGTGAGGCAGTGGGGGCCAACTCAGGTGGGGCTGTGGCGGGCCAACTCAGGTGGGGCAGTGGGGGGCCACCTTAGGTGGGGCAGTGGGGGGCCACCTCAGGTGGGGCAGTGGGGGGCCAACTCAGGTGAGGCAGTGGGGGGCCAACTCAGGTGGGGCAGTGGGGGGCCAACTCAGGTGAGGCAGTGGGGGGCCACCTCAGGTGGGGCAGTGGGGGGCCAACTCAGGTGGGTGTTACTTGTTCGATGGCTCTTCCCTCCTCCATTCTCCATTCTTCATTCACCATGCTTTTCCATTCTTCGTCTGCCATGCTTCTCCATTCCTCGCCTCCATTCCTCTCCCTGCGAGCAGCCATGGGGTTTGTTGAGACTTTTCGGGACAAGGTCTTCCGACCCACGCTTGCCACTGTGCTTGGGGACGACGCCAGGTAAGCAGGCTTAATCCCATCTGTGCTTATCTGATTCGGTCTGTTAACGTCTCCCTGCACTATTGACACCAACTTGACACCACCTGTCGCGCACCACCCACTGCCGGCCCACAAGACGCATTGTGCATGCTGGCTGCCCACCTGCCCTGTGATCCCCTGGTCCCCGCGATGCCCCCCATGGCAGGCTGGCCACGGTGCTCAAGACGGATCTGGTGCGCACAGCAGCGACGAGGATGAGGGAGAGCCGAACGAGCTCCGTCATAGTCACAAGCGGCGCCAACAACCGCCCGTGCGGCATCCTCACGTGCGTTTTCGGCTTGGCCCCTTAGACGAATTCACATTATTTAATTTTTAACCTTGTTACGCACATTATCATCATTATTGCACACATCGTCGATGAGAGTGCTTGTCATCCCTCTCCTCACCATGCCCCCCTCAGCTCTCATACGGCATTCTTACTTTTGAGGCGCCTCAAATATAGACTCACCATGCCCCCCTCAGCTCTCATACGGCATTCTTACTTTTGAGGCGCCTCAAATATAGACTCTCCATGCCCCCCTCAGCTCTCATACGGCATTCTTACTTTTGAGGCGCCTCAAATATAGACTCTCCATGCCCCCCTCAGCTCTCATACGGCATTCTTACTTTTGAGGCGCCTCAAATATAGACTCACCATGCCCCCCTCAGCTCTCATACGGCATTCTTACTTTTGAGGCGCCTCAAATATAGACTCTCCATGCCCCCCTCAGCTCTCATACGGCATTCTTACTTTTGAGGCGCCTCAAATATAGACTCTCCATGCCCCCCTCAGCTCTCATACGGCATTCTTACTTTTGAGGCGCCTCAAATATAGACTCTCCATGCCCCCCTCAGCTCTCATACGGCATTCTTACTTTTGAGGCGCCTCAAAAATAGACTCACCATGCCCCCCTCAGCTCTCATACAGCATTCTTACTCGTGCGCTGGCGCTCAACCTTCTGAGTCGACTCAATACTCGTACAGCATTCTTACTCGAGCGCTGGCTCTCAACCTGCTGCACCCTCACTCTTGCACCCCCTCCCTCGCCATGCCCTTCACCGGTGTGGCTCTGCCCATTACCCTTTCCCACACCCCCCTTCAGCTCAAGGACATTCCCCCGCGGGTGCTCACTCTCAACCTGCACCCCTCAACCTGCGTGTGCCTTGGCCTCGCACCCCCCCCCCCCAGATCAAAGGACATCCTCACGCGCGTGCTGGCACTCAACCTGCATCCCGACAACACACTGGTTGACAAGGCAAGCCCGAAAATGCAGGGGGGGAGGGGAGGGAAGAGGCGGGGGAAAAGAAGGGAGGGGAGGGCGAGGGGGGTGTGTGCTCCAGGTTTGTGCTCCAGGTTGATCCATCTCACTGCACCTGTGACTTTTTCCTCATGCCACACTCCAATGGCTTTTCCATGCTGGCATCTCACTGGCACCGCACTGCCTCCTTCTGTATCGCGCTGCGCCCTTGGGTACCCTCCTGCACCCCTGTGCACCGCATGCAGGTGATGACACCGAATCCTGAGTGTGTGCTGCTCAGCACTCCTGTGGTTGACGCCCTTCACACCATGCACGATGGCAGATTCCTGCACCTGCCAGTGGTCGACTCAGGTAAGATATTGGCACACCATCGGGTCAGATTATCAACCGCACAGAACACCTGTGTAACCATGTACACACCTTGCACGATGGGAGGTTCCTGCACCTACCAGTTGTCGACTCAGGTGAGTTCAATAGGCAGCTCAACTCATACCTTCTAACCTCTCTGCCGTTCACCCATCTCACACCCCTCCGTCCATCACTTGTCACCATGCACCACGTCGACAGTCCTTCAACTTGTACGGCCTGGTCTCCCGTTGCCATGTCGCCATGCCATGACTGCAGTCTCCCGTGCAGTCATGGGAGACGGCAACTGTGTGGCATGCATGAGCCCTTCACCTCGCTCACTGCCTTGACCTGTGCCTTGTGCACTTTTCTGTGTGCCGTGTTGCCCATGTTGCATTGCGATCCCGCCATGCCGTGTTTCCCTCCTATGGCTGTATACGGGCAGATGGCAGCTGTGTGGCATGCGTGGATGTGCTGCAGCTCACTCAAGGCGCCATGTCCTCAGCCGCTGTAAGAACCCCCCCTCCCAGCTCCTTGTTTCCAGACGAGTTTTGAGTCGACTCAAAAGTCACCTCCAGGCATCGCACCCTGTCTGCAGACATGGCGACATGGCGACATCACACCCTGTCTGCAGACATGGCGACATCACACCCTGTCTGCAGACATGGCGACATCACACCCTGTCTGCAGACATGGCGCCATCACACCCTGTCTGCAGACATGGCGCCATCACACCCTGTCTGCAGACATGGCGCCATCACACCCGGTCTGCAGACATGGCGCCATCACACCCTGTCTGCAGACATGGCGCCATCACACCCTGTCTGGGTGATTCCAGACATGGCGCCATGTCTGCAGCCACTGTGAGATTTTCTACTCGCTTACACCATGCCTTCCCTTGCTACATTTGTCCATGCTCCATGCTTCTTGCTGCTGTGTCTTGGGTGCTGTGTCTCCCCCTCCCCCCCCTCCCCCCCCCTCAACCCCCCACACACAACATCCGGTCATTCAACGTAGCTCCCCCCTCCCCCCGTTCCCACAGGCAGCAGCAGGGCCGGACAGTGGCGACGCCATGGGGCAGCGATTCTGGGACCCTTGAGTTGACTGGTAGCCTTTGCGAGCTGACTCACAAAACATCTGCCCTCTCTCTCTCAAGCGGTCCTTAGTATTGATGAACCCTGGGTACAGGCTAGGCAAGGGGAGCAAGGTATAGAGACATGTCACATGGGAGACTTGGCTAGTGAGTCCTAGGCCTACTGGAACCCCTCTTGGGGCTCAAGGATGGCGAAACAGTCCCCGAGGGACATGTCCGCGTCCGGGTCTCCTAGGGAGGGCCAATCTGCCGGCGAGGCCTCATTCACCTTCCCAAGGTAAGACAGGGCTTGCCCCTTCTGGAGCGTACTAGACCAGCGCTGGTGGAACTGGCTGAGCAGTTTCGCCGCTTGGTAGGAGCTGGGGTCCCCGTTGAACAGTCGTCGGGCTCCCGTGTGCGCCAGCAGCTTCAGGAAGGTGGGTACACGGGCAGCCGTATGTTTCCACGGCGAGGGGGAATAGGCCCACGTACTCAGCCCTGCTGGAGTAGTGGTCCGCCTACTTAGCCGCTTGCTCCCTGGCCATATACCCCCTGCCCTTGCGTGCGTCGGGGTCGCGGTTGCTGATGGGTTCTGTGACCGTGATGTCGCAGATCCACACTGCGCCGGAGTCCCTGTCTCGGATGGCGAGGTCAGCTGTCTTGCCATCCACAGGGTTGTACATGGCCGTCTCCTTGGTGACGATGAATTGCGCATCCCGGGCCATCTGGATGCACTCGTCACGGAGGGCGTTGTGGGTGTCGGTTCGGCCATGGCCGGTTCCGCAGCGGAACAAGTGGTTCGGGAGACGGGGGTCCGGGATCTTCACCCGCTTGAAGCAATTGCAGATCTTGGGCGCGGGGAAGGGCAGCCCCAGACGGAAGGCCAGTGCTATGGCAAAGTGAGGGGGGGCCATCCGCAGTGAGGGGAGGATGGGGATGGCATGAAGCCAATCTTTCTCTCTCTCTCTTCCCCCACCTCCCCTGCCACAGGCAGCAGCAGGGCCGGACAGTGGCGACGCCATGGGGCAGCTGATGCAGCGCTTCTGGGACTCCGCCCTGGCGCTACCCCCTGCCGACACTGAGGAGGATACTGGCAGGTAGGATAAGGACAGGGGACAGTTCGTTTTTTAAACTTCTCAAGAACCAACTGCATGTAAGGAATAGGGACACACACTAGTGCTGTTGTTTCTCAAGCACAGCCCACTCCTTCGTTTGCAAAGCATGTGATTTCACTAACTCCTTTCTCTCTTCCTCCTCTTTACTCCATCTTTTTTCCCCCGCAGTGTGCGCAGCAGTGACATGTCGGACCAGATACGCCCCTCAGGAAGCAGGAGGAGAGGGGGCGGATCAGCCTCAGCAGGAGCAGGAGCAGCAGGAGCTGCCGGTGGTGGGATGGGAGCAGGGGTCGTGGCAGGGGGGATGGGAGGGGGGATGGGAGGGGGAATGGGAGGGGGGATGGTGGGCGTGCGGGAGAGGGAGGTGGAGGATTTGTTTTCGTTCAAGCTGGAGGACCGGCGGGGGCGCGTGCACCGCTTCACTGCGGGCAGTGAGAGCATGACGGAGCTGGTGTGCGCCGTGGCTTCGAGGCTCGGGGGGGACTACGACCCCGACAACCCGCCAGCCATCCTGGTAAGGGGTTTTGGCAGGGGGGATGGGTGTGGGAGGAGGGGTGGCGGGCAGTGAGAGCGTGACGGAGCTCGTGTGCGCCGTGGCTTCGAGGCTGGGAGGGGACTACGACCCCGGCAACCCGCCAGCCATCCTGGTAAGGGGTTTTCATGGTTGTGCAAACGGATGGCTGGCGGGTTGTCCCTGCCAGGGATATCCCACCAGGAATAACGGCATATCCCTCCCTGGACGGCCCCCGCCTCTTCCACCGCCCACTATGTCATTGTCCTCGAGCCCATATGCTGCGCGCGCGTGGAGTCATTTTTTAGAATCCTCCACTGGCTCCATGTTCACTCTCTTGCCCACTATGCTGCGCGTTTTAAAGACTCCATCACCCCCATCTGTACATGCACCATTGTCCTCATGGTGCATTATGGGCACGAGGTCAATGACATGGTGGCTATGGCATGCCTTCCCTGTGCCTCACATTATCCCTTTTTCTACATGTGCCGTCGCCCCCATCCCCATCCCCACCTTACACCGTTGCCCCTTCTTTCCCATGCACCGTTGCCCCCATCCCCACCCTGCACCGCTGCCCCCATCCCCACCCTGCACCGTTGCCCCCGTGCAATTGCAGTATGCAGATGAGGACAAGGACATGGTAGTCATCTCAACAGACGAGGATCTGCACGCCGCTCGCCAAGGCACGGTCCTCGCCAAGGCACGGTCCTCGCCAAGGCACGGTCCTCGCCAAGGCACAGTCCTCGCCAAGGCCGCGGCCATTCATGATCCTGCATCATTATTCCCACCATGCCTGCACCATTGCCCCCACTGTGCAGTATGCGGACGAGGACAACGACATGGTGGTCATCTCAACAGACGAGGATCTGCACGCCGCTGTCAAGTTCGCCAAGGCCACCGGCATCAAGGTGTGCCCTCATGCCAGTGTTCATGCTCAACGAATGCTTCCAGTGCTGTTGTTCTGCCCACTGCTTATCCAACAGTGTCTTAACCCCCCCCTCCTCCCCCTCCCCCCTGGGGCCTGAATCTCCACTGCTGTATGCCTTCACACTTGCTCCATCTCCCCCCCTCCCCCCCCCCCCCCATTCCCCCAACCCACAGGGTCTGAAGCTTCACCTAGAGTTTCACGATGACGAGGACCCCGACACCCACTCCCTGCATGGGTCACAGCACGGCTCACAGCACGGCTCACAGCATGGGTCTCAACGCGGATCCCTGCACACATCGCATCATCACCGCACATCATCTCTAGTCAACGGCTCTCGTCGCACCAACCCCGCCACCCCCCCTCGCCCTTCCACCTCGCGAAAATCTGCCGCAGCTGCTTCCGGGCCTGCCTCTCCGGCTCGGTCCCCACCCTTCGGCACAGGTTCGGAAGGAGGGGCGGCAGCCGCATCAAGTTGGGACAATGCAATGTGGGCGTATACGGTGTCCATGCTAGCAGTGACGGCAGTGGCAGCAGTCAGTGTGGGTGTTGCAGTGTACATGCACCGAAGCAAGCAGTGATGCTTTACGAGTAGGCAGCGATTCCTAAGAGTAGGCAGCGATTTACATGCACTGTAGCGTTGTGGGCTAGAAGTTAGGAAGATAGATCCAGCCATTCAAAGGGGAGGTGTGAGGCAGAAACGATCAGCAATTAGGGCAAGCATTCATTCAATCAGTGGCAATGGCTGAATATCATTGGCAGTGAAGGGTGGCTTTACATTAGTGGCAAAGATACCACTCGCTCATAAAATCTTGGCATTCCATTCCAGCCTGCGTGGCATCTTGGGTTCGCTGTTCCTTGGCCCTTGAGCGCGGCTTCTTGAAGCATAGAAGCATGCATGCAGGCCTGCTAGCCACTACCTAACCAAAGAGTCACCTGTACAAGCCATATTCACCATCTTGCAACCTACAGCCTATTAGATTAGAAACCCTGCTGCTTCTATAAATACCTAGGATTTAAACCCTGATACGCCTAAAACCCTTATCACGCCTTTTTCCGGCACACCTGGGAGAGAGTCCAGTCCCCCAGCCCTCTGCTCTGCAGCTTCCTGTGGTTGGGAATGATCCTCCGCGCCAAGCTAAACGACAAAAACCGCGGGAAACCCAAAACCTCTCGCACACTCCTCCCCATTGGCCCCTCCAAATACGCCACCTTGGGGCGCAGATCACCGTCCACGTGTTTCGTCAGGACTGGAGGAAACTCCGCCACTATTCTTGCCACCTCAGCTCGCGTAAATCCTAGCGACAGGAGGAAATCGGTCCGCGGCTCGAGTGTTTTCTGGACGCTTCGGCAGAGGAGGTACGGATGGTGCAGTAGGAGGTTGGAGAGGCGATCTTCTGAGAGCCCTATGCCGCGCAGATGCCGAATGGCGGGAACGATCCGTTTCTCGAGATTGCATGCGAGGATTTGCGGACAGCGGGTTACCATGTATCCGACTTGCGACGGCGACAAGGGGAGATTGGTTTGGAAAAAGTGAATCAGCGGGCGCATTTTGAGGTCGATGCTGTAGCTGAGGAGGCGCGGGCAGGAGAGGATGACACGTCGGCATTTCTCCTCGGCGATCCCGAGGTGCTGCAGGAGCGCCAGCAGCGGGCAAAGCTTCTCCTCCACGCTCCGCGCGAGGATCCCCGGGAACTGCGCGACTGCGCGGCGGAGGTCGCGCGCGGTGAAGCCTAGCGCGCGGAAGCACTCCGCGGCTGGGCGGAGCTTCTCGGGGACGCTGTACGCGAGGAGCTGCGGGCAGCGGAGGAAGAGCGGCGGAAGGGCCTTGGCGGAGAGGTGGAGTTCGGTTAAGAGGAATGCGACGACTTTCCGCTGGTTGGGGACGGAGTGGGGCTCGGTGAGGCGCGGGCAGCGGGCTAGGCAACGGTCGGCTTGATCGGGGGAGAGAGTGAGACTAATGAGGTAGGATACGGCTTCTGCGCCTGCCATGAGCGGGCAGTGAGAGGCAATGCGGGTCCTGGCGATGTGCTTCTCGATAGGATCTATGGTCTTGATACTAACTGTCGAGCTTATCCGTGCGATGGGGGCTTTTGGCTTCTGTTGCGAAACCCACATAATCTGAGATGGCTGGAGCACAATACAACCACGTTCAGGGTGCATTCCTACGACCCGCGGCAGTTTGACCTTTCGTCCCTTCTCCCTTTTTTCCCGAGACGCGCGGCAGTTTAGTAAAACCTTTCGTCACATTGCACAATGAGCTTGCGAACCCCTGCGACACGCTTATCTAGCCACCTGGCGCGGCATACACCTATCCCGTGCCCTTTTCCCAAACACTCTACGTTGTCGTTAGTGTGACTGTAGCTTGTCGTTAGTGGTGGGGTGAGAAATTAGCGCCAACTTCCAAGCTGGCGCTAGTTTCTCATAAAGCAAGAGCGCGAAACTGGCTCCGACTCAGCGAGCGCCAAAAAAGTGATGACTCAGCGCCACCCTACATTCCTCGGCATGGCGCGCAGGTCGCAAATTACAAGCGGGCAATTCATTGTATACAATAGCGGGCTTGAAAATCAGCAAATAGCAAACAGAAGCATTTCAACATAAATTTAAGCGAAGAATTATTGCCCAAACATACAGATTTTGAATTATATATGTTAGTATATAATTGTAGGCTTGGTAGTGGTTACTGAACATTACTGTAGAGGGTACAACACCCCTCCTTGTATCCCTCTCTCTTCTTTCCTAGTTCTCTTTTTTCTCTCCTCAACTTTCCTAGCACCTAAAACCTCTCGCCATTACCATGGCTCCTTCTCCTACCTAGATCCTAGTTTTAGACATGCTAACAGAGCCGGTTCCCTTCCCGGACCTGCTCCCCATGCTTCCGCCGCGCACTCCCTCCCCGTCATGCCGCGCTGGCCCCGTCGCGTCGCACGGGCCACGCTTCCGCTGCGTTTCCGTCCCCTGTTCGCCGCCGTCGCGGCCTTCCTACTGCCTGCTGCCGTGGCACCTTTTCCAAGTTGCCGCGGCAGCCCTTATTGCCCAAACATACAGATATTAAATTATATATGTTAGTATATAATTGTAGGCTTGGTAGTGGTTACTGAACATTACTGTAGAGGGTACAACACCCCTCCTTGTATCCCTCTCTCTTCTTTCCTAGTTCTCTTTTTTCTCTCAACTTTCCTAGCACCTAAAACCTCTCGCCATTACCATGGCTCCTTCTCCTACCTAGATCCTAGTTTTAGACATGCTAACAGAGTCGGTTCCCTTCCCGGACCTGCTCCCCTCGCTTCCGCCGCGCACTCCCTCCCCGTCATGCCGCGCTGGCCCCGTCAATCCGCGCTGGCCCCGTCGCGTCGCACGGGCCACGCTTCTGCTGCGTTTCCGTCCCCTGTTCGCCGCCGTCGCGGCCTTCCTACTGCCTGCCGCGGTGGCACCTTTTCCAAGTTGCCGCGGCGGCCCTTGTGCGATGTCGTCCCAACGTCGATGAGCAGCCGCGGCGACGACGCCACCCTGTGGTGGCGCCGTTGTGATGCCGTGGCTGTGTCGTCGGCCTGGTGTCGTCGCGCACCACCTGCGTCGCTGCTGGATTTGCAGCCCGCCCGCGTGCCAGTAAGCGCCGCGCCAGCAATGGCGTCGCGCTGAAGATCCGTCGCCCCGCCCCTTCCCCCTTTCCTCAGTCCCCTCCTCTTCGCCACAGCCGCCTCCTGACTCTCGCCGGTCTTCCCCCTGTCGCGGAGTTTGGACACACCACCGGAAGGGCGGGGGGCGCTGCCGTTACCGCCGTCGTAAGCCGAAGCCGTCGCCGTCGCCGCTGTCGTCGCTTCAGGCCTGTTGCCGCCGCACGCCCGTCGTCGCCGTCGTTGTCGCCTCTGCCGGGACGGCCGCCGTCGTTGTCGCCTCTGCCGGGACGGCTGCCGTCGCCATCTCCAGGGCCTTGGGGTTGGCCCTGCTGGAGTAGTCGTGGCTGATGGGAATGAGGGTGCTAGGTTAGGGGGTGTGGGGGTGTGTGGGTCCTTGCTACCAAGCCTAGGGGGTGTGTAAAATTATATATGTTAGTATATAATTGTATGCTTGGTATTGGTTACTGAACATTACTTTAGAGGGTACAACACCCCTCCTTGTATCCCTCTCTCTTCTTTCCTAGTTCTCTTTTTTCTCTCCTCAACTTTCCTAGCACCTAAAACCTCTCGCCATTACCATGGCTCCTTCTCCTACCTAGATCCTAGTTTTAGACAACAGAACCACGTCAAAATCAAAAGTTCAGAGATTCAAAAAGAAAAGAAAATAAAAAACATTCAAAGCCCCAAGCCAGCACGAGCCCATTGTACGAGGTCAGGATCAGGGCAACTGGATGACAACGCTCTCGGATTGTGCCCAAGTGCCGGCCTGAAAAAATGAGCAAGGCGACTATCTGCCGCCAAATTCCCCCAGCCGAGCAACAGCTGCCCGTGTGGAACCAGGAGCGGTGTCAGCTTCCATCGGGGGGGCGTCGTTTAGGCCAACGGCGACAGAACGGGAAGAAGGATATGGAAACCAGCGGCCAATGCTCTACAGACGAGCGAGGGGTTGCCCAACAGAGAAAGTGGGCAGAGCATCATCAAATGTTATGAACTCCCGGCTTGTCATGGGCGAGCCGCCAAGCCTAAGCTGCCCTATGAGGCGCGTGAGGGAAGTGATGTTAAAGACATTTGTGTGTGATGTTGTAGACTATATAGGGTTGTGCCTTAGAGAGTACAGCCCCCTAGGTTATAATTCCTTGTACTCTCACATTGTAGTCATTCTTTCAGTTTGATAAGTGACGTCCTCTGTGGGGGGGTCTCAGGAAGGCCCCTCAACGCACGACTTAGTCCCCATGCTGTAAACCATGTGCACGGTACTATCCAACTACGCAGCCAGCACTGACGCACAATCTAAGGGTCCAACTGCATCCACACCCCGCTTACCCATATTATTGCCGTGCGTAGGTCGGGCCGCTTGGACCTCTTCCGTTCCTGGGAGGCCCCTCCTCCCCCTCCACCTCTCCTAGAAGTGGAGCTTGGCACCCTGATCCCCTCCATCATGATCCCTATACTCTCAACATCCGCCACCGACTCGGTGGTCCCTTCACCTGCCCCAGCCACTACACGCTCTTGCCTATCAAACTCCTTGATAAGCCAATCCACCAATAGCCTCATGTAGCGCAACTTGAGTGTAGAGATCACACCTTGACCGAGCGGTTGAACCTGTGACGTGCTGTTTGGTGGGAGGTAGACGACTCGTACATGAGGAATGTCGACCATCTTGATCCCCTAGTACTCGTGCTCCGTGGTGTCCAAAATCGGCCACACGATCTTGTGCGCACTAGCGTTGTCCACCAGGAGTACTATGACGTCCTTGGTGTTCCATTTGTGCGCTCACTTTGTCGAGCCATTGCGAGAATATCTGCGAAGGGGTATAGAGATAACATATGGGTGTGTGTACAATATCTCAAAATCTGTGGAAAATGCACATTTCACATTTTTCATCTCACTTGTGGAACTCGGCGTAATAGAAGTCATTACATGCACGACAATCAAGAGACGAATGCACGCCAATGCTCACCTCCGCGGTCATCCATGCTCGACCATTAGAGCGATACCATGCGAAGTCTTGCACGTGGAAATCCCCGCGGAATGAGCGTGGGCACAAGCTCTTGCCTATGACGATGGGTGGTAGAAACTCGGAGCCATCCGCGTTCACACATAGGTCGAGTGTGAACCGCTCCTTATCAACCTTGCCACCACTTAAAGGTTCGGTTGCATAGGATCAACGGGATTGTTGACCAGAGAGGAACCCCGTCTCGTCCATGTTGAACACGTCGGAGGGTTCGTAATGGCTTAGAATCTCGCGGGTAATCTCTCGCGCGAGGCCGATAGAATGCGCATTTACTTCCTTCTCCTCTCCCTTGCAAATGTATGACGCCAACCCTAAGCGGGCCAATGCTAAATACAGCCACCCTGGGCTAACACCAAAGTCCTTTGACAAATTCATCCTCTGGTAGGAGTGACCCCATTGACTTCCACTTAGGTTAGACGTATAGGATGGTCTTGCGCTTCTTCCTGCTCGGTTTTGGTAGCGCTCAGTAGAGTGTCCGAAGGTTTTGCAGTGTTTGCAAAAGTAGCGGCGACTGCGCGTGCCGCGGCGAGGCTCCTTCTGGCCCGAATAGAAGGCAAGCCTTTCTTTGTGCGGGGCTCTCTCCTTATAGAGGTCCATATCCTGTTGCTTAGCCAGCATCGTTGCACAAAGCGTCGCTTCGGAAATTTCGTCCTGCTGGCGTAGTAGAGCCTTGCATGGTCGCCATTCAGGGGTGAGTCCTGCGAGCACAATTGTCACGAATGTGTTTCTATTATTGTGTTCCTGAGCTTGACGATCTGGTTGCGGATGCTTCGGTCGCGATTGATGTAAGTGTTGGCCTTTTCCCCTGAGACCATCTTCACTTCTAGTAGCTGGCCGAGTAGTCGACTCGACGTCACGGAGTTTTTTCGACAGATAGAGTTTTGCCACGTACAGCCAAGAATCTCGTGCTGGAGCAGCGCGTGTTTTAAAGGATCGAATTCCGAGTTGCTTGGAAGCGGATAAGTTCCATAGAAGGACGTTGTACACCATGAGCGATTCGTTGTAACATCGATGTTTTGCGTCTTCGGTATCGATCGTCGATCCGGAGTAAGATCAGTCAAAATAGCAGAAGATTTGAGCGCTCAGTAGTAGTAGCTCGAACTCGAAACTCTGGGTGTAGAAATCGCGACCGTTGAAGATTGAGCTTGTTCTAATCTTAGAAACAGCGAAGAGCTTCGACTGTCCTGTCTGCAGGGCTTCGTAACTTAATCGTATGCTTGGAGGTGGTTGCGTGTTGGAAGCGTCGAAGTTGAAGAAGCCAGGAGTGGAGTCCTTGTCTGCAGGATTGGTTGCGTTTCAATGGTTTGGCGAGCAATGCTCGAGCCGTCGATCTTGAGAGATTGAAGTCCATCTTCAAGAGTTGTCATTCGTTGGAGCAATTTTTTAAGGAGTCCTGTGGGGATGGATGTCATTGCCGTCGGATCCGGAGTGTTTGCAGGTGCTTCGGGAGGAGGGCTTCCTTGCCCTCGTAATCCCGAGCCTTGGGCCATTCTATGGCGGGAGCGAGTCACTGGCGCTACGATATTTGAATTTGAAACTGATCAAGAGTGTTGAGCGTAGAATCCTGATAGGCTCTGTTTACCATGAAGCGATCCAATATAGTCCGTAGGATCTTCAGGATTGAACTTCAGTAGTGTACTTTGCGGAAGCGATTGATTGGTTCAGAAACCATGTCAGATTGAATGTAACGTACCATAATCCCTCGTATAGAAGACCCCCCCTAGGTTAGGACCCTGGGTCCTTTAATCGACTAAAGGGTCTTCGACGCAAAATTCGATTATAGGCCCCTCCCCCATTGGAGAGTAATTCGTTTTTTAAGCGAGTGTTATCTTGTACACAAAAAAAATCATTTCAAACGGCAGATCACATTGCTTTTGCCGAGTCCAATTCCCCTGCTTCCAGGCGCACATGCGAAATCTAGCTCTCTGACAGCTCAGACTAGGTTTCGTGGCACTTGCACACGCAAGCCAATGGCGAGAACGCGTTACCATTGAATTCGCGGACTCCAGCACATACAAAAGCAGCTTTCCCGTTGGACGATCGGTCAACAAGATTGGCAATATCTTTGGCCGAACTCGTAATTCACACACGTCAGTGATTTCAATTGAGATCAAGAAACGAACAGTATTGTGCACCTAAAATTGTTTCCTTTAAATTATAACAAACTATGCATGAGTTAGGCCCTGGGGCTTATATTTAAAAATTCGATTATAGGCCCCACAGGGAAAAAAATGTTTCGTCCTAAACGCCCCTAGGGGCGCCTATCCAGGGGATTACGGTAACAGTATTGATTATAGCAAAGGGATACGAGGTTCATATAGTGATATGAGAAAATGCGAAGGATCTAGCTAAGATGCACTTAAAGCCCGCGACTAAAATAGCAGACCTAGAAACCGCTTGAATTTGGTGATTTCAAATCCGTCCAAGTATAGAATGGAAGGCAGCTTTGAGTTCAAGCCTGAACAAGAAAAGTGCGTCGAAACGAATTCTAGTCGAGCTTGCTGGTTGGAGGAATGACGAAAGAACTCGTTTTGTTGTTTGTTGCGGCACGATCATTTGAATGCGATTTGCGCAAAAAGACTGTGTGCATTGCACGGAATTTCTACGACGGGTTTGGGCGAGAAGCTTGCGATGAGGAAATACGTGCGCTTTATGACTAGGGGATTCAAGTGATTTCCAGGTCTGAAATCCCGGAATCAACTACTCTTCGCGAAAAAAACACTGCTCTTCTTACATTTGCACTGCTCACTGAACCATGAATTTGGTCTCACGATGCGTAGTGTGTCAAACATATTTGTATATGTTATAATAGGCTAGATAGGTGCTCTTAGGGGGTACAACCACTTGAACAAAATCATCCAGTATGCCTCATTCTAGTCAACTTTCTACTCTGTGATGGTTTCAGAGCAGGCTGCTCTTCCTGGGCCTGCTTATTACGCTTTCGCCGCGCACTCCTCCTCTCTCTCTCTCTCTCTCTCTCTCTCTCTCTCTCTCTCTCTCTCTCTCTCTCTCTCTCTCTCTCTCTCTCTCTCTCTCTCTATCTCTCTCTCTCTCTCTCTCTCTCTCTCTCTCTCTCTCTCTCTCTCTCTCTCTCTCTCTCTCTCTCTCTCTCTCTCTCTCTCGCACTGCCATGGCGGCCGCGTCGTGCTACTGTGGTGGCGTCGTCGTGCCGCCGCGGCCGTCTTGACGCGCTGCTGTGGCGTCGAGCTGTCGTGGCGTCGACGTCAAGCTGTGGCGGCGTCGTCGACGTCGAGCCGTGGCGGCGTGATGGTGCCGTCATGCTGCCATGGCAACGTGCTGCCAGCGTGCGTACGGCACGGTCGGCAGCAGCCAGCACCCCGTCTTAGTGCTGGCCAGCACACCCGCATGCAGCCAGCGCGCCACACAGGGCGGCACGCTCCCGAGCTCCGCTGTTGAAGCCCCGCCCCCTTCCCCTGCGTCCCCTCTTCCTCGCCGCAGCCGACGGCTGACTTGCGCTGGCTGTCCCACCGTCGCTGAGCCCGGCCACGCCGCCGAGGGCTGCGAGCTCCGCCGCCGCCGGCAGCTGTCATCGAAGCCGCCGCCGCCGCAGCTGGTGCCGCTGGCCACGCCTCCGCACGCCGCCGCACGCCGCCGCCGCCACCGCTGTCGACGCTGCCGCTGTCACCGCCGCTGTAGCTTCTGCCCTCGCTGTCAATGTTGCCCCGCCTCACGCACCGTAGGGTTGACCATGCTAGAGTAGCCGTCGCTGCTGCTGAGTATGGGGGTACTAAGGGATGTGTGGCTTAGTGTGCTGTGTGTGTGATGGGCTTTCAGCTCCCAAGCCTAGGGGGTGTGTTAAATTATATATTTGAGATATATATAATGGTAGGCTTGGTAGGTGTTACTAGATTCTACTGTAGAGGGTACAACCCCCCTTCTTGTATCCCTCTCTCTTCTATTCCAAACCCCTTCTCTCTCGATATTTTTCCCTAGTATGCCTGTATGCTTGTATGCCTCATTCTAGTCAACTTGTATACTTTAATGCCTCATTCTAGTCAACTTTTCTACTCTGAAATGGTATCATGCGCTAGGTTAGGTCCTCCCCGCCCACCCACGCTTCCGCTCTCGTCCTAGTCCTAGCCGCCCGCTCCTAGCCACCCCTTAGCGCCCCGTTAGCGCCCTGTTAGCGCCCCGTCGGCCCCCTCTGGCCCGTTAGCACCCGTGGGCCCCGTTAGTGCCCCATCGCCCCTGTGCGCCCCCTCTGGCCCTGCTCGCCCCGCCGCCCCCTCCAACGCTCTCCACCGCCTCCTCCACATGTCCTCCTCACTCCGTCAGCGGCTGTCAGCAGCCACAGCAGTGGCGATGGCGGAGTCACAGCTCCGTCTGGACACAGAGGGTCTGGCGCTCGACTTTGAAGCGTGGCTCGTCGACCTTCGGTGTCACCTTACAGGTCAGCGCCAAGACGGTCACTCCTTGGCTGTTCATGTCAATGGCGTGCTTCCCCGCCCCCCTGCCCCTGCTGCCCTCCCTGATGCCCCCACCACTGCTCAGCGTGAGGCCTTTTCTGCTGCTGTGCTTGATCGTGTCGTCTGGGACTCGCGCGATGCTGTCGCCCAGCTTGCTATCAGCCGTGCACTCCCGCTGTCTGAGCGTCCTCGCTTTACCACAGTAGCGAACGCCCAGGCTAGATGCTGCCATTGCCCGATATTCCACCCCCGCCACTACCTCTGCTCGTCCTCTGATCCTTCCCATGATGCTTCCTGATCTTGCGTCCTTCCCCACTGTCGCCGAGTTTGCCACGCACCACTGCGTGCTTGAGACAAGCTACCGCGCTGCTAGCACTGAGGCACTGTTCACTGTCTTCCCGCCACCGTTCTGCGCTACCCTTTATCTCATCGCCACGCGCCTCCCTGACCACCTAGCCTTAGCCCGTGACCACTTTCTTAGTCAGCACCCGGGTGACCTCACTCTCACTGCCTTTGTCATTGCCCTGTCTGAGATAGAGACCCGCCAGCGCAGTATCGCTCAGTCTAGCGGTACTGCGGCGGTACCTATCTTTCAAGGTTGTGCTCCCTCCCAGTGCACTTACTCTGACGGCTCTGCTGCTTTTGCTGAGACCGCTACTGCGACCTCAGCGCAGAGGCGTCTGGGTACGGGTCGCCGCCCCAAGAGTGGGAGTGGTGTAGGAAAGGGGGCGGCGGTGGGGAGGGTGGCGGCAGTGAGGGCGGGGACGGTGGTTCAGACGAGGGGACCAAAGCTAGTGCCCCGGAGCAGCAGCAGACTCAGTAGCCGCAGCCGCCGCCACAGTCATCGCAGCAGTAGCAGTCGCCGAGGGGACCCCGCCGGCGTGGTGGACTGGTGGCGCTAGCGGCGATGGTCGTGGGGGGGGCGGGCACCACTCGGTGTCGGGTGGCAGCTCCAGCACGGTCACCTACCAGCTTCAGACTGGCCCTCGCCCCGGCACTGTCTGCCTCCGGCCCGGCCACACCGCTGACCGTTGCTACCGTCGCCCGGACGACTTGTTCCGCCACCGCTTCGGTCCTGCGTCGAACCCTCCGGACTGGTAAGCCCTGGCTCGTCGTTGTGTGCCAATCTTCGAGCTTGACATGGATCATATTAGAAATGATATGTCTGTCATGTATGCTGATGAATCTAGTGTGATTGGACCCTATTACCTGGTGATGCCTAGCATAGGTGTGTCCACTATGAGTAGTCTAGGCTCCCCTGCTGTGTCAGGCGTAGGACCCCATTGTTTAGCCTAGGCTGCACACTAGCCCCTCCGCCGGCAGCCGCTAGCACTTCGCTCTCCTTCATGCTTGACTCCGGTGCGTCTACCTGCTTCTTCCGCGACCACACTTCCCTTACGCTGCTTGCTGCCCCTGTCGCCGTCGCACTTGCAGACCCCTCCTCCAGTCCGGTATTTGCACGTAGCTCCACCACTTTTCCCTGTCCGGCGGCCCCCTTGGGCACTCTTACAGACCTGCACATCTCCTCGTTTTCTAGGAACCTAGTTGGTGTCGGCTGTCTTCAGGACCTCGGCGTCACCTCTACGTTCCCCAGACACGAGCGGTACGCGGTCTGCACCAAGACCGCCACTTGTGCCCCTCTGACCACGTTCCCCCGGAACCCTGTGTCTGGCCTATTTACGCTTGACACTGCGTCCCCCCCGGTGAGGGCGTCCCCCCAGGTAGCCTCGGCTTGCTCGTGTTGGTTGCTCACTCACCCGTCACTTCTATGGCACCACCGCCTAGGTCACCCTGCACTCCCGCGTCTGCGTCGCATGTCCCAGCACGGGCTTGTCCTATGTCTCCCTGTATCACTCCCTTCCCTCCCTCCCTCGCCTGCGCCGCCGTGCACGCCCTGCGTCGAGGGCCGGCTCTGCCATGCACCTCACTCCTCCTCGCTTCGCCCTGCCACCGGGCCACTCCAAACCCTGCACCTGGACGTTTGGAGTACAGCCCCCGACCCTGGGCCGCGTCGAGAGCACTATTTCTTGGTGCTTGTCGACGACTACACGCGCTACACCATGGTGTTTCCTCTGGAGCGGAAGGCCAACGTGCCTGACGTTCTTATCCTGTGGGTTGTAGCTGCGCGAATCCGTCGAGGTCTCCCCATGCTGTGTCTCCACTCCGACTATGGTGGCGAGTTTGCCTCCGATCGGCTTGGCCGGTTCTGTCGTGAGGAGGGCATCACTCAGTCGTACACCCTGCCAGAATCCCCACAGGAGAATGGGGTCATTGAGCGATGCATTGGCTTGGTTATGGAGGTGGCTTGTACCTCCATGATCCATGCCGGTGCACCCCATTTTCTGTGGCCGTTCGCTGGTCGCTACGCTGCTCATCAGCTGAACCTATGGCCCCACTCCCAGCAGTCACAGGTTTCCCCGACCCTCCTCTGGACCGGGTCTCCTGGTGACGCATCTGCATTCCACGCCTGGGGATGCCTTGCTCACGTTCGTGCCTCTGGCACGCACAAGCTCACTGCCCGCACTGTCACATGTGTCTTCGTTGGCTTCCCCTTTCACTCATCTGACTGGCACTTCTACCATCCGCCATCTCACCGCTTCCTTCACTCGCGTGACGTCACTTTCGACGAGTCTGTCTCCTTTTACTGTCGCTTTCCCCGCCGAGGTTTCCCGGTTTCCCCACCCCTGTTTCTTGTCCCCACTCCCCCAGTAGCCCCTGCTCCCCTCCCTCCCCGTCCTGCTCTGTCTAGTGTGTCTCACGTCACTCCCCTCCCGTCGATTGTCACGGTCGAGGAATCGGCTGACTCTGGTGGCTCGGCGGCGCATTTCTCCCCGCCTGCCTCTCCCCTGGTGTCCCCTCCTCCGTTGTCGCAGTCGCTGCCATAGCCGTCATCACAGCCGCAGCAGCAGCAGTTGCCGCCGTCGCAGCAGCAGCCGCTGTCGCAGCACCAGCAGCAATTCGTGGACTCTAGGGGTGCTGGCGTTGAGGAGGGTTCTAGTCCTGGGGTTCCTGTCGTGGCTTGTTCTAGCGGGCTTGGGGGTGGCACTGGTGCTGGGGAGGGTTCACACTCTGGGGGTGCTTGCTCTGGAGTGTTCCGGAGGTAGCCGTGGTGCAGCTGGCGGTCCAGGTGTCGGCGTCAAGCAGCAGCAGCAGCAGCAGACGCCGCAGGTGTCCGCCCTTCGCCTGCTCGGCCTTCCCTCCCCTGACCGCTCGCCTGCGCCTCCCCCGCCGCCTCCTCCTCTTCTTGTCCACGGTCATGTGTTTCCTCCGCCGGACTCGTCCCCGGCTCGTTTCCTGCCTCGTTTCCCCCTCGTGTCTCCTCCTCTGTCTCCTGACCCGACACCTCCGTCTCACGTCTGGTCTCACCGTCCCTCTCGTGCTCGTCCTTTCTCTCCAAATCCACGTTCTCACCCTATGTTGCTTCATTCCCACGCATCTCGTCCTCCCTCCCACCGTCTCCTCCTCCTTCGTCGCTCTCTGTCGTGCCTCCCCCTCTGTCTGACTACCTTCGTATTGCTCGTCCTCTTGTGCCTCGGGTCCTTGTCTCCCTCGTTACGAACCCGTATGTTCCTGTCTCGAGTCTTGACGCTCTTGTTGCTGCTATCATTGACTTTGCCTCTACCCGCCGCCTTGACTACGCCACCGCTCTAGTCTCTGACCCTGCCTGTCCTCCGTCCGTCGGGGGTGCTCGTGCCCTCGGCAGTGACGTCTTGGAGGATCGACAGTACGAGCTTGCTTTCCTGTCCGAGGCTGCTCCCCATCTTTGCTCGATGCTACTAGTCCCTGAGGGTGACCCCGACGCTTTCGACATCCCGACCCCTCGTACCTACTCTGAGGCCACCTCAGGACCCTGGGCTTCTCAGTGGATAGCTGTCATGGAGCAGGAGATGGCATCTTGGACTTTAATTTCATCTTCATTACAACTACCAACTCTAAAGAAAGCGCAAAAATGGTGGATTTGTCTATGCAAACACCAGATTGGAATTGGTAACGTGGCTTGTAACACTTTGGTGTCGGTTATGCACTACACATTTTCTCCTCTATTGTCCCATCCGGAACAGTCCAAATTGCAATCTCACCTACCAGGTTTTCAGTATGACCCGCGTTGACACTGAACCTGATTAGCTGCAGTCTGAACTATAGCGAACAGCCAAGTTGTATTTCGACAATTGCGAGTTTCAGAGCTGGGACGTCGCGCAGGCAACTAATCCAGTGCATGAGCGAGATTTTGACCAAGTGTCATTGTTTATTGTGGGATTTTCCCTTGAAGGTCCCGTTTGCCCGTGTTTTACAATTTCTTGCTTACAGGCTCGAGCCGTGCGCAAAAACCATGAAACGAAATATGAGAAAACGTGTACAAAGCTTCACAAATGTCTATTCGCCGTTACCTTAGCAAGAATGTTTTGGGAAATGATCAATAAGGGTCCTCCCTTCGCTAGAGGCGTGAGCAAAAAAGGTCCGGCCCCGAGACCTCGTCTCCGAGCCTGTGCTACACCTCATGTTTCATACAATACGCACACATCACAAGGTCACAAATTTGCAGGTTCATGGGGGCGCGTTGTGTCGTAACCATGTGGTGGGACATTTATACGAATTCAATGTATTGTATTAAAGCACAAACAAAAACTAAAACCTTAGGGGCACCGCATGAGACTCGGGGTGGCATCAATCCTAAACTCGCAAAAGGGCCGCGTGTTTAGGGTTGATGCCATCCGGAATGGAATTCGGTCCCAAACGGGTTTTAGTTTTTTTAGCCCATCGAGAAATGTTGAATGGTACCGCAAACGTCCCGTAAATGTTTAAAGTAGTAAACAAAGAACAAAGTGTATTTCAGGTTCAGGGGCGAGGTCCCTGGAGCAGAAAGTAGCCGGACCTTTTTTGCTCAAGCCTCTGGCAAAGCAAGGACCCTTTTTCATCATTTCCCGAATGTTTTCGCCTGATGGCTGAGTTGATTTCAGTGGTGCCAGCAGTGCTTCTGCCTCCAGCGAAGCGCTACAGCGAACCCACTTGTCCAACGAAAAAGACCCCTGAAAGTCCAGCTCACGCCCAATTTGGGAATCACCACGGAGACACATTATGCCAGGGCCCGTATTCAGTTTGGCTCACTCTAATGACGACCAATCAAATAATTACTTTTTGTTGCCCGAAACGAGTCTTGGGTTGATGCCTCCCAAATTACAAGCAAGTTCCCCTAGGGGTTTATATTTTTTTTCTTGCCCGAAACGAATGTTACGTGAGTGAGCCAAAATGAATTTTGTTTCTGGCATAGTGTGAGTGCGGCTGATCTTGCCCATCTCTGATTCGCTTCCTCTCAACTCGGAGATTCGAAACCGCCTACGTTCCTCAGTGTGTACACGTGAGTTGCGATTCGCTAACCTTCAGCCTGGCTTGTGGCTGACAGATTACAGGACCGAACCTCCTGACGTCGCTCCACGTCAGTGCCTGGGAAAATCTCCAGGTTGTGCCAGAGTGGTGGCCCCGCTGGCACCTGGGAACTCCATTTTGGGCCAGAAAACCCATCCATCCAATCAGCTAGGAGCAACCGCATATCCATTCACGGGGTTGCCTGCATTCTTGGTTGTTGACCTGGCATGTTCTGCTGCATCTGCTCCCCCTTCTGCTATTGGTTGGCTCGACAGAATTCTCTTGCCATTCTCTGCTGCTACAAAGGATGTCCACAAAATGACTAGCCCGATTCAGTCCCAATCTTTCCCTCCCTGACCAATAAATATGTCCAAATACATATAGCGCGACTCAAAAACAAGGTGTTCTCATGTCAGGCATCCTTCGTATCTCCACTGTAACCCTCTCACTCATCCTCAGCTCAGGCAGCCAGGCTTCGTTCCACTTTCTCCACTGGTCTTCCACCTAATTCCCACCAAATTCATTTCCCAAGCACTGAATTTTACCTCAGCCCCTGCTCTCGTCTCAGTCGTTCAGTTTGCGTCCCGCCTCGTCGTTCCGAGCATTCCCTCCCGTCGCGTTACCTCACGTCAATCAGTCGTTGCTTCTCAGTCGTTCAGTCGGCAGATATGGCTCTGGTGGCTGCGACGTCGGCTCCTGTCTCCGCTTCAGCCGGAGCGTTGGTTCAGCGTGCGTCGAACAGACGGGATTCGAGCACGTTTGCGTCGTCGCTGTTCCCAAGCAGCAGAAAGAGCTTGGAATCCAACGCTGTCTTTTCCCAGCAACGTCAAAATGGTCAGTTGGACGCCCGACGAGCGGAATCCGATGTGCACGCGATACGAATTCGCAACACTTGCTCGTTTATTCACCGCTCACTGCCCAACGACCACCACCCGCTTGTCAAGCGGCGGTCGCTGACAAGGACTCGTTCTTAAACACATACCCTGCGTTCCATGCTTTACATTTCCTACCTCCCAGCAGCTGTGAACAAGGCCCTCACGGTACGAGCGAATGCAGGGGATGCGGCAGCGGCGCAGACAGCGGCGGCGACGTCGCTCATGATGGAGGTGGACAAGGACTCCTTCTACCCCGAGCTCGAGAAAGCGGCGGCCGCTGACAAGCTTGTCGTGCTCGATATGTACACCCAGTGGTGCGTTACTGTCACCCTAGTCCAGACACGCAGTATTAATCCAGCTGTCCGACCGCGGAACGATTGGTGTTTTCCTGACTTGTCCCGTCTGGCTCTGTTTACCTGCTGCGCGGCAGGTGCGGGCCGTGCAAGCTGCTGGCGCCCAAGGTGGAGGCCCTGGCGGAGGAGATGCCGGACGTGGTGTTCATGAAGCTGGACTGCAACCAGAACAACAAGGTGAGCATAGTGACTGTGACTGACTGTGATTGTAACGACGGTGGTGTTAATGAAGCTGGACTGCGATCAGTACAGGGTGAGCGCCGTCACTGTAACTGGTGACTGTAGTGAGGGGCGCATGACGTGGTATTGATGCACCTTGGGAGTGGAGGGGATCTTTCTTTGCCTAGCATCGGGGGTTACCATGATCACGTGGAACTTGTCGGGTCATGAGATTGCACGACAAAGAAGAAGCCCCTTTTGACCCTCTTGTATCGAAAACAATCTCAACTCCTCACTTCAGCACTCAAATTTCGAACCTGCTCGAATGCCGCTACACTCCTGGCACGTATTTCCGTGCCCTGTTCCCCTGTCTCAATCACTCCCAAGAACAGCCTTTGGCAATGCCTTGGAATGCGGTCCGTGCCGACTAACTCAAATGTTGCTGCACTGATAACTGTTTGTTCCGTCCCCTCAATCCCCCGTGTCCCCCTCACTCACATAAGCAGCCTCTGGCGAAGGGCCTTGGCGTGCAGTTGGTGCCAACGCTCAAGCCGCTGTGCTCATGCATCGTGGTTATTCCCATTGTCCCCCCCCCCCGTCCCGTTCCCTGTTCTTGCATGAGCAGCCTCTAGCCAAGGGCCTTGGCGTGTGGTCCAAGTCATCATCCAAACTGTTCCGTGACCTGGCTCAGGTCGACGAAGACTGATTCAAACCTCACTACACTCATAATTGTCATGTTTCTGTCCCCTTATCCTTCATTTGCAGCCTCTGGCGAAGGGCCTGGGCGTGCGGTCGGTGCCGACGTTCAAGCTGTTCCGCAACCTGGCTCAGGTCGACGAGGTCCAGGGCGCCAAGTACGACCTGCTGGTTGAGAAGATCACCAAGCACCGGTGATGAGGGGACATGCGGCAGGGAGAGATCAGCAGCAGTGCCAGGGAGCAGCAGTGCTAGGGAGCAGCAGCGTCAGGGTGCTGCTATTTGACGAGGTGCGGGGCGCCAAGTACAACCTGCCGGCTGAGAAGACCACCAAGCACCGATGTTGCTGATGCTTGCGGTGCTGATGCCGGTGGTGGTGCTGCTGGTGTCCATCATGAGTACTGGCCAAGTTATTGGACTGGGAACTTGTGTGTACATTGCTCTTGAAAATTGGAAGGAATAATGGGTTTGTGCCTGAACTGAAGCAATTGTGACGTCATGTCACAGCATTCCATAATCTCCAGCATCACACTCACTGCCACGGTGCTTCTCACTTCCCGTCAAGCATCGGCTAAATGTTGAATCTGATTGGAAATGCGAGACAGTAAAGAAATCTCATTTGTGTGGAAGCTGCTACTCTCCTCCCCTCCATCAGCATAACCAGTGACCAGTCATTGCCATAGCGAGCGAGTCTATACTGATCGTACATAGTGTACCAGAGTCACAACGTTGAATGAGACACAACTCATCAGGCAAGCATAGTATTCGGCCATGTGTTCCCTCCCCCGGACTCGTCCCTGGCTCCTGCCGCTCCTCCCGTCTCCTCCTCTTCCTGTCTACGGCCATGTGTTCCCTCCCCTGGACTCGTCCCTGGCTCGTCTTCCCCCTCGTTCCCCTCCTGTGTCCCCTCCTCTGTCTCCCGACCCGACTTCTCCGTCTCACGTCTGGTCTCACCATCCCTCCCGTGCTCGCCCCGTCTCCCCTGTCTCGCGCTCTCACCCTATGTTGCTTCGTTCCCACGCGCTCTCGTTCTCCCCTCCTACCGTCGCCTCCTCCGTCCTCCCTTGTTGTTGCGCCTCCGCCTCTGTCTGACTACCTTCGTGCCGCTCTCCTTTGTCCCTCGGGTCCTTGCCTCTCTCATTACCGACCCGTCTGTTTTGGTCCCCTGTCTTGACGCTCTTGTCGCTGCGGTAGCTTACTTCGCCTCTATCCGCCGCCTTGACTTCCCCACCACTCTGGTCTCTGACCCTGCCTGTCCTCCGTCTATCGGGGGTGCTCCTGCCCTCGGCAGTGACGTCCTGGAGGACCACCAGTATGAGCTTGCTTTCCCGTCTGAGGCTGCTCCCCATCTCTGTTCCATGCTGCTAGTTCCTGAGGGGGACCTAGACGCTTTCGACATCTCGACCCCTCGCACTTACGCTGAGGCGACCTCGGGATCTTGGGCCTCTCAGTGGATAGCTGCCATGGAGCAGGAGATGGCATCTTAGAGATCCACCGGCACCTACGTCGACGCAGTTCCCCCACTTGGGGTGAACGTAGTCGATGGCCGCTGGCTCTTCAAGGTGAAGCTATCAAAATAATTGAATAATGGTAAAGTGAGAGTACACACAAATATATCTAAGTTTTGTATCCTCTAAGAGGTGACTCTATACAGTCTATACAAACATGACAAATACACATGTTTGACACACCCCCTAGACTGCATAGGGGAATACCCTAAACAAGCAGCTCAGGGCGGCACTACTAGTCCAACCTCTGAGACAAGGGTCTGAGCGACCGGTCAGAAGGAGTACAGACAAGGCAAGCATAAGAGCAGGGCGGCACTACTAGTCCAGCCACTGGGAGAGGACACAAGTCCAGTCTGAGTATACATATAAAGGACAGTACAAAGTCAAGGTCCTAGCAAGTGAGAGGCTACAGGAACTAGACCAAGCTGTACACAGTGCCGCTGATGATCTTTAGGCGCAAGCGCCTTCGTAAAGATATCAGCCGTGTTGGCACCTGAGGCCAAGTGTACTACGCGAGCCTGACGTCGCTGCTGTAGCTCACGCAGGAGGAAGTACCGCAGCTGAATGTGCTTCGCTCTGCCCTCGAGTCGAGGCTCCTGACACAGGAGGATCATGGCCCTGTTGTCAGCGAACAGGACCGGGGCAGAGCTAGGTCGCTCACCTAAGTCAGTGAGCAAGAAGGTCAGCCAGCGGAGCTCCTGTGCCGCCATGGCACCGGCGTAGATCTCAGCCTCACAGCTGGACTGTGCAACAGACGAGGAGCGAGTAGCTCTCCACGAGACGGCACCTGAGCCAAGGCTGAAGCAGTAGCCCTGGGTAGACCGGAGTGTCTCAGCGTCGTCTGCCCACGAAGCGTCTGTGTGCCCAGTAAGGACCGCTGGCCTGCGTCCTCCTAGCACTAACCCCATGCCCGATGTACTAGCAAGATAACGCAGAACCCTCTTAGCGGCAGACCAGTGCTGCGGTCGGTGTCTGCCTGTGGCCACAAAGCGAGCCAGGATGCTGAGAGGGTATGCGAGATCTGGGCGAGTGCAAGTCATCAGGTACATGAGGCAACCCACCAGCTCTGCGTAGGGGCCGCTGGGCTCTACCAACTCCTCAGGCACTGGAGCGGAGAGCCTGTGGTCTACAGGCAGAGGGGTGGGCTGTGCAGAGGAGAACTGAAGGCTGAACCTCTGAAGGACCTGGCGCACCAAGTGTGACTGAGTCAGGGTGATGGTGCGCGCAGCTCTGTCCCTGGAGATCTGCAAGCCAAGGTAACGGCGCAGTTCTCCAAGGTCAGTGCAGGTGTGTCTCTTCAGCAGCTCTGCCTTCACGGAGGCCAGCGCGTCCCTGTCTGCTGTGGCAAAGACCAGGTCGTCGACGTAAACGAGGATGTAGAACGGAGTCTGGCCAGCACGAACGAAGAGTGAAGGGTCTGCAGAAGACGGAAAGAACTGCAGGTCAGCAAGCGTAGCAACCAGAGTGTCGTGCCACTCACGGGGAGCCTGGCGCAGGCCGTAGACGGGGCGCCGCAGGAGCCACTGGGTCCCAGGAGGGAAGGTGCCAGTAAAGCCCGGCGGGCGGCGCAGGTAGACCTGCTCGTGTAGGCTGCCCTGAAGGAAGGCAGTGGAGAAGTCGAGGGAGTGAAGCTCGTAGTCACGCTGAGCAGCTAGGTGTAACAGAACCCGAAGAGTAGTCATCTTCGGGGTCGGAGCGAAAGTCTGGAAGAAGTCCACCCCCTCGCGCTGACTGAAGCCTCTAGCCACATAGCGCGCCTTGAAGACAGGCGGCTCTCCAGGAGGGCGCTTCACCTTGAAGAGCCAGCGGCCATCGACTACGTTCACCCCAGGTGGGGGAACTGCGTCGACGAAGGTGCCGGTGGATCTCCAAGATGCCATCTCCTGCTCCATGGCAGCTATCCACTGCGAGGCCCAGGGTCCCGAAGTCGCCTCAGCGTAAGTGCGAGGGGTCGGGATGTCGAAAGCGTCTGGGTCACCCTCAGGGACTAGCAGCATGGAACAGAGATGGGGAGCAGCCTCGGAGAGGAAAGCAAGCTCGAACTGGCGGTCCTCCAGGACGTCACTGCCAAGGGAAGGAGCACCCCCGACAGACGGAGGACAGGCAGGGTCAGAGACCAGAGCGGTGGCGTAGTCAAGGCGGCGGGTAGAGGCGAAGTCAGCGACAGCAGCGACAAGAGCGTCAAGGCACGAGACTGGAACAGACGGGTCGGTAACGAGAGAGGCAAGGACCCGAGGAACAAGAGGACGAGCGGCACGAAGGTAGTCGGACAGCGGGGGGGGCGCAACAACAAGGGAGGACGGAGGAGGCGACGGCAGAAGGGGAGGACGAGACGCGTGTGAACGAAGCAACATAGGGTGGGAGCGCAGGACAGGCGAGGCAGGACGAGCACGGGAGGGACGGTGAGACCAGACGTGCGATGGAGGAGTCGGGTCAGGAGACAGGGGAGGGGACACAGGAGGGGAACGAGGGGGGAGACGGGCCGGGGACGAGTCCGGCGGAGGGAAAACAGGGCCGTAGACAGGAAGAGGAGGAGACGGTCGGGGAGGAACCGACGCAGGGTCGGGGGACGGAAGGCCGAGCAGGCGAAGGGCGGACACCGGCGGGGACTGCTGCTGCGGCGGCACAACGGCGACACCTGGACCGCAAGCTGCTCCTCGGCTACCACCGGCACTCTCCACACCCGCACCCCCAGAGGGACCACCCTCAGGGCGACCGGGACGAGCACCCCCAGAGTCAGCGAACGGGGGCTGCGACTGCGGCGGCGGCGGCGGCGGCGGCGACGGCGACGGCTGCAGTGGCGGCAGGGACGGCGGAGGAGGGGACTGGGGAGGGGACACCTGGGGAGGGGCGGCCGGCGAGGACTGCACCGGAGGGCCACCAGAGTCAGAAGACTCCTCAACCGGGTCCACGGACGGAAGGGGGGTGACATGGGAGACACCAGAGGGGGCGGGACGGGGAGGAGGAGGAGGAGGGGCAGGGACTACCGGGGAAGGGGTGACCAGGAACAGGGGGGGGTAACCGGGGGACCACGGTGGGGGAAGCGGCGGTAGTAGGAGACGGACTCGTCAAAGGTGACGTCACGAGAGTGAAAGAAGCGGTGAGACGGCGGGTGGTAAAAGTGCCAGTCGGACGCGTCAAGGGGAAAACCGAGGAAGACGCAGGGAAGGGTGCGGGCAGTGAGCTTGTCCGTGCCGGAGGCACGGACGTGAGCAAGGCAGCCCCAGACGTGGAACGCAGACGCGTCACCAGGAGACCCAGTCCACAGACGGGTCGGCGAAACCTGCGGCTGCTGAGGGTGCGGCCACAGGTTAAGCTGGTGAGAAGCGTAGCGCACAGCGAACGGCCATGACCAAACCGATGCGTCGCTCAGCGACCCCATTCTGCTGTGGGGAGTCCGGTAGGGTGAACGTCTGGGTGATGCCCTCCGCACGACAAAAGCGACCAAGGACACCTGAGGCAAACTCGCCACCACGGTCTGAGTGAAGACGCAAGACAGGGAGACCGCGGTGGACACGCGCAGAGACAAGCCAGGGGATGAGGGCGCCAGGCACGTCGGCCTTGCGCTCCAGGGGAAAGACTGTGGTGTAACGAGTGAAGTCGTCGACAAGCACAAGGAAGTAGCGCTCGCGACGCGGCCAAGGGACGGGGGCGGGGCCCCAGACGTCCAGGTGCAGGGTCTGCAGCGGCGCGGCGGTAGGGGGGAACGAGGAGGAGTGAGGGGCACGGCGAAGCCGACCCTCGACACAAGGCGTGCAAGGTGGAGCTGGGGAGGAGGGAAACGCGGGGAGTGAACCTGGGAGACCAAGGACAAGACCGTGCTGGGACATGTGACGCAGACGCGGGAGCGCAGGGTGACCTAGGCGGTGGTGCCACAGGAGGGTCGGGTGAGTGAGGGAGCGACAGGAGCAGGCAGCAGCAACCTGGGTAGACACAGCCACCTGAGGGGGCGCTCCAGCCGGGGGGGGCACGGTGTCCAGAGTGAACAGGCCGGACACCGGGTCCCGGGGGAACGTGGACAGGGGGGCACCAGTGGCGGCCTCGGTACAGACA